GCTTTAGCCTTTTCAAAGTTCACTATTGTCTTAGCAAAATCCAAATCTAAGGGATTATGAAGTATTTCCAGTGAATTTTCCTGGGGGTCAGGGGTAACACTTGTGTCCCCCAGATGAAAATTCAACATGGTTGAAAGTGTATCCAAAGGGTTTATAGTATAACTGCCATCTGGTCGCATAACCGATGAGAGTTGAGACTCCTGAGATCTCTTAAGAATCTTATGTACTCTGGCAGTCTCATGGTAGGACAGAATATCTGTGCAGAAGGATCTCCATGAGTTGTATTTAGTTTTCCTGGTTTCACTTTTAAATTTCCTTTGTAGAATTTTGAATTTAGACCAGTTAACTTCAGATTTATTTCTGACTCTAAAACTTGAAGGTTAATGACATTAGAAACCAGGAAGTCCTTATAAAAGTCCCAATTTGTGTTTTTAATGTTTCTGAAATATTCAGCTGGAATTTCATCTCTAATACAAAATTGTATAAGGCGGTGGTCTGAAAGTGAGGGATTGTCACTTACATGCCGATTCTCAATAAGGTTATAAATATCAGAAGAAGTTGTATGAGGTCAATGACTTCTTTTCTTCTGTTGACAAAGGTGGGGCGATTTCCCCTGTTTACCCAAGTTAGGTTGGTACTCATTATAAGTTCCATGAGTTTTTCTCCTCTAGGATTCGTATCAGAAGTGCCCCATGATAGGTGGTGAGCGTTAACATCACCACCAATAATCATAGGAATATTGTTTATTTCACAGAAACTCACAAGATCTATAAATTCTTGCGAAATGTTAAGGTCATAAGCCATGTAAAACTGAGAAAAACAAATGTTTCCTCTCAGTGAACTGTTTATGTCCTTAGTTAAAATAGCAGTAAGTCCTCTGAGGTAAATTGAGATAATTTCATAGCCTTTATATTTTTAGAAATGTAAATGCTAGTTCTAGGTCTTTTATTAGGTCCCTCTGATGAAAAGAAGTGTGCATTCATGGGCCTACCAAGGATCTTACGCTTGTACACCCAAGGTTCTTGAATTAAGGCAACAAAAGTGCCTTGCTTACCAAATTGAGCAGCTAAATTGTATAGTTGCTCTGCTATGTTGCAGGTTTAGCTGACTAACCTTAACCATTAAAACAAGTTAAATGAGAGATAAGAACTTACCCTGAAGGATTTTAGGAGAGACTTAGTTAAAAGCAGCATCCTTAACCCACGATTTCAAAGGAAGTAGTGACAGGGGAAAACTATTCAAATGTCTTCCCCAGAGCCTCCAGAGAAAGCTCTGGTTCCGACTCCTTTTCGGTCTCCCCTTCTTTCATCAACTGTTTCCTTGGAGGATCCTTGGGCGGAGGAATTAATTTCTCCTGTTGTCTTGGTTCCTTCAGCTGTACAGAGCCACGGGCACCACAAAAAAGTTTGAAATTCTGGTCCTCCAGGTAATCCATGAGCTCAGGTTCCACTCTCAGCACCAGAGTGTTACCTCCGTCTCCAGGGATGACTGCCTTGATGGCGATCTTCTTAACATCCAGGCCCTTGTTACAGGCATCAAGGAGCTTGATGTTATCTTTTGGTGACCTGTTACCAGGAAACCAAGCGAAAAACCTCTTCATGGGGGGTTTGTCCCCGGGAGCCATGGCGTGATAACCGGGATGGTTTTCTTCAGGGCCAGGTAGATCATTGATTAAAGTCTTTAGGACGTCCACAGTCTCCTGGTCCTCACATGCAATGTTGAGGCCATTTGGCTGCAAGACTGTCTTGTGGACCCTGCAGGTGGTGATGGAGCCGTCGATAATTCGGTCATCAATTATAGAAGTGATGAAGTCCAAATCCGCCGATGTTATGTTTCTGGAGTCATCCTTGCAGACGACCCGCAGAGTAATTGCCTTCCTCACAGCTTGACTATAAAGCGGTCGTTTCTTGAGGACCATTGCCAAGGTGTCACCAGCAATGCGTTCTCTCTTACGAGACTCTTCATTGCTTGGATGGCTCTCCCTCACCAGTTTGGAGGTCGCTCCAGAGGTCCCAGTTTTATCTGTTTTCTCTCTCGCTCCCTTCTGCCCCGGAGATCGAGATCCCTTCCATGGCCCTCTCCAGCTGCCGCTCCTTCTGGCATTGTCTTTTTTCTCTTCTTTTATTTACAACCTCCGTCATTGGTGACTGGTCATCTGCTTGCGCATCTGACACAGAACTTCTGACAGAGGAGTCAGTATCCATCCCCACTGGGTTCAAGGTGTGCGTGTCCGAAGGCAGATTCACCCCTTCACCAGTGGTTCTGGTTTCTGTAGTCCTGAAGAGAAGAGCGTCCGCACCCCAGGGCGCATTCACTCCCTTAGAAAAAGCTAGAGTGGTTAAAGTGGGGTTTTCAGAGGATGTGTTTTTATCTGATTCTATATTGCTAACATCCATATTGCTATTTGATTGAAAAAAGGGGTAGAAAAATTCCTTCAGATTTTCTAAGAGCCAGTTTGGACGGGCTACCCCTGGATTCAGTGAGTCAGTGGTCTGATGAGCAGTGACCTCAGAAGAGCCCCTGCTCTGCCATGCAGGACCCCACCCAGGCACCTCCTGGAACTACAAGGCAGGCGAGATTATACACCAGCTGATAGAGCATCCAGGACATGCTGGTTAGGCTGCCCTGGGCTCCTGTACTATCTGGCAGCCTGAGACGCAAAACTAAGTTTTTCTCCTGTATCCTCTACATGGCTGCTTCCTCCAAGACTCCTCCTCTCCAGATCAAAGGTCCTTGGAATTTCAAATCCTCCCAACAATCACCGGTTTTCCCAGGGAGGAGAGGTCCCTTGGGTCGTCATAAGATTATTCATCATCAGACCAAACCTCACCCCACTAAACCCCGGTATGCCACAGGACTTTGTGGCATTTACCCATTTAGCACCACCCAGGGAGCACGTATGACTTAAGGATAATCTGGTCTACCAAATATACACAAATATCTGATACAAATACCAGATAACAGATAAATAAGTAATTTCTTTTTGCAATTTTAAATCATCATTTTATTTCATCTATGAAAAATTGCCAAATGGTGCTAAGTTGGCTTCGCTAATATATGATTACCTACTTGTTTGTATAAAGCCAAATTATTGGTATACTTTATATATGTGATGGTTTAATGCTTAAAATATGCCTAATTATTAAGTTATTATAACCACCACCTTACTTCAGAATGTAACAAAAGCATTTCGCGTTCGTTGCCCATCTCTTGGCATAAAATCGCAAATATTCTTCAATTTAAAGCTCAGCTTTTAATAAAATTTAACAATTTTAACAGCTTGATTCAAAATGTTTTTCAGGTTTTCAGGATTGTTTTGGCTACTAAAGCATCTCAATGAATGGAACAGTGAGTAAATTAAGTTTCAGGTGCGACTTTCTTTATTTGAGAAATAACACTGGAATGTTTTCCTGTTAAAGCCCGAGCTCCGTCACTGCCTACGGCAATGCACTTATTCCAAGGAATATCATTCTCAGAGATAAATTGTCAATTACTTTGAAAATTTCATTTGCAGTTGCTCAATCATGAAATACTCTTCAGTAATTCGTTTATGTTCTTCAAAAGATATGTAAACTAATAATTGAACAAAGTTCTTTATAACAGTCCTTTCACCCAATTCCAATGCAAAATACTTGCTGTGTTTTATTTTTTGAATAGGTGTCTCTTTTATGAAATTTTCTATTTCATGAATTCATCGAGCTACTGTATCATTTGATAACGGATTATTATTAAGCTCGTTAGCCACCTTTTCATTGAATAATGTTAAAATGATAGCTTTAGCTGCTGGTAATAAAGGTTGTCTCCAATAATGTGAGCCTGCTCAGTCTTAGTAATTCTTAGACTTACTAGGTAACTAGCTTTCAAAGTTTTTTCGCTTGAAGTAACAAAAACTTCATTTCTTGTTTACTATTTTTTGTATTCCAATTATTTCCTCTTAAAATATTCTTAAAATTTATCCTTTACATTGGCATGCTTAGATTTAAGATGTCATTTAAGAAATGATGGTTTCATACTTTGATTTAAAAATAGTTCACCGCAAACAACACATTGAGGTTGAGGGCCTATTTCATCTCCCTTACAAGTAAACCCAAATGATACTCGTAAATAACTTTCATTATATTTTCCATAAACAATTTTTCTTTTTTTTTTTTTTTTTTTCCGATATTCTTAGTGATAGTAGATTATCTTGGATCTATCACCTGTGAATCATCACTTTTCTGCCTAGTCTATCCTAGCCATTTTTCTATTTTAGAAATCTAAGTTTGTTTTATTATTTTTTCACAAATATTTAAATGTGCGGTATATTACAAGTTCTTCAAAAACAACCGAAGATATTCTCAAATCGCATGGAAAAGTAAGGAATATAAAGCAACAAGAAGACAAAACACCTACTGTTAGAAACAGCAAATTCACGTTAAAAAAAAAAAATGATTCTAATTGAATATAGAGCAGTATGAGTGAGCAAATGATGGTGACATAAAGGGTAGATATCAGGACAACCCTGGTAGACATGTTAATATATCCATCAACTCTTAAATTAATGAGATACTATTATCTTTTCATATGAATTTATTTTTATTTCCTATTAAATACAACATCCATTTCTAATCCTGTTTTTAAAAACATCATTTATGACAAATTTTGTTATGTCTATGTCTAAAAGAATATATTTGAAAATGAAAACCGATTATTTTGCTACAAGTTTGCTAAGTGTAAGAGTGGCTGTAGACCTTGAACAAAGCTCAGATTGCATAAATTTACCAGTTTTAGAGAAAAATCTTAAAATGGGCTGTTGGGTTATATATTTTTGAATGTAATAGTTAAAAATAGTTTCTTTGCCTGCCTCCTATTTTCCCCTTGTGTACCACCAGTTGAGAATCGCTGGTGTAAGGTATAATCATGTGTGATTTAGAAGTTCAGCATTATGTTATAATAGAAATAAAAAGTAAATATTCATTTAAAGAAATTCACATTTTTAAAAAATAATTTCATTGTTTTAGAATAAAAGAAGCTGACAAAAAGAAAAATCTCTTCTCAGCCCTGAAGAAAAATGAGAGAGATAAAAAGAAGCTTTTAGACACTGTATTAAAGCAACTGCGGCAGTTGACAACAAATGGAGCTTTATAGTATTTTCTGTAAAGTGAAGTTAAATCTAGGACTATATTTTTAAATCTTGTGTGCTTAGAATTTTGTCATTTTATTATCAAAGAGCACATGAAAATGCTAATATATACTCAAATGTAAAAGGTCTATTTTTGTCTTATCTTGTACATTTTATTTAAACCTGTCAGAAGGGGAAAAAGTGTTAATATGTTTAAAAATTATATATGTAACAGTAATATTTTTCCCATTAAATTATTATCAATATATTTTGTAATGTTAGGGAATTTTGTTATCTGTATGTAATTTTATGTAAAATTTCAGATGGAATATATATGTGTGTTATAGTTTATTTGTTTGTTTTTGTGAATATAAATAATCATAGTGACTTTTTTCTCTATCAGTTTCATACTTTTGTGTACAGTATATTATTTTGAATAATTTGAGCAGTGTTGTTAATTCCAGTGATAAGAATGGGGCTCAAATTTTGCATATTAGTATAAATTTTGATTTTTTTAAACATATTTTAAGAACAGTAGTAATGATATAGAAGATGTTTTTTAGGTATTCCGAAACTGATAAAAGGATACTTTTTTACTAAAAAATATACTTTTGTAAAATAATGATTATATCTAAAATAATATCCAACCTTTTTTGCTTATGATATAGTTGGTGCTAAATTAGTGATCTCAGAATTCTGTTTCTTGTTCATAAAGTGTTCTTGTAACTTGTGTGGTAATTTTGTCACAGTTCTTGTATTGCTAGATCTTGAAAAAATTAGACTTATATTCATTATTTGTAATGGATTAATTTGTATGAAAACAAAAATTGTTTATTATACTTGATAAATAAAAAAAAAATATTTCTTATATTGCATTTCTATTTTATAATTTAAAAAAAATATTGTTATTATTTTTAAAATTGTACTTAAATGAGATAAACAAAAGTTTTATTCTGTTCCATTTCAAAGAAATTCACATATTTAGAAGCTTGAGCTAATGATTATGTATATTTTGCTTTTCTTTTGTCCATTATCTCACACCAGATATTCTGGTTAAGTTCCAGAATACTTGTTCTATTACATAAATATTAATTTTTTATGTTCTATTACATTTTCTACTAATAACATGATTAACAGATACAGTGAAACTTTGGTTCATGAATTTAATTCATTTTTGAAGACAGTTCATGACCTTAATCTTCGTAAATCAAAACAACTTTATTTTAGAAGTTAATGTAGATTAATTCATTCCCAATTGATTGTTTAGAAAAGAATACTTTGTACATAAGTTTTTATTGCAAAAACAATAGAATTTGTTTAATACACATATAAAGAATATTAATGCAATACTTAATATATAAAAAAAAGGAAAGTTTCCCGTACTAACACATAGAAATAAATGAAGCATTTTACTGATCTGTCAAAGAAAAACTGATAGCATATGCAAAGCGGGAAAGGAAAAAAAGGTGGAAATTTGACTGTTTAAAAGGGAATTCTTTTCCATAAACATATAAGGTAACTACTGTCTTTGGGTGTCTTTTTTTTTAATCATTTTTTAATACTTTTGTCTCCTACTCAATAATCACTGGCCTTTTCTCCCATTAAAATCTGAGAAATGTGATGCTTTAAAATATTTCTAAATTAAGACATGACCATTGTCATCACAAATATTTATGCTATGGCCTTACTACTGGTTTATCAGGTTTTTAATATTGATAACATTCTGCAGTGTTTTACATCTCATCCTATTGGGCATAAATTTTGTGCATCAAATAAATAAAAGCATTCTCCCTTCATTTTACTGAAGGCATTTATTCCACAATCGCCTTTTATTGCTGCCTCAGAAGCTGTTCAAGTTCTTCCATGCTAATTTCATTTTTGTGGTCTTGCAACTCTTCCACATCTCCATTTTTAACTTCCAAGCCCAATTTTCGAATTTTTTGCTTAAATTTAAAATCCCATCGATAAGGAAAACTGTCTCAATGTCAGGGCACTCAAAGTCTCTGCCTGGAACATTATTTGGCCACAATAGCCGAATTCATAGTCTTGTTAGTCAAAGTCACTTGCTGTCAGGCTTTGTCTGTGTGACTTAAACTGTGAATAATATTTAAAGGATGTTTCCAGAAGGCAGAGTATTAATTCTGTATCAGAGATTAAAGTAGAATGTATATATTTATATATTCTTCTTACATTATATAAAATAATTGCAAGGTAAAAAATATGTTGGAAGCGTTTTTATTCTGTATATGCATGTGTAAAAGTGCTCCTTCTCCCCTTCCCCCAAAAAGCAATAACAACAATAAATATGTTTGAAATGAAGGATTATTTTATATGGAAGAAATTAATGGTACTTAGTATTAATGTCTGTAAATAAGTTTTAGTGATTATTTTATGTAGAGTTGCAATTGTTAATTATTTCATGTCACTTTTAATATGTTTAATAACTTGTTTGCTGTTGATTATTTTGAGAATTAAAAATCTGAAACTCTGGCTGTTATACTAAAGTCTGAAGCTTTCTTTTTAAATTATTAGCAGAGCTTTACAAATATGGAAACAACCTAATCAAATTAAATGGTCTGTCTAGGTAATGAAAATATCCAGATAAGACTCCCCCTCTCTAGTCTAAATAATAATTCTCCAAAATTCAATCAAGGAAATTTTATTGTGTTATTTGTTGTGCTTTATCTGAGCAAAGATCATGGTGTTTAAAAGGCTAAAATATTTGTTTTTTATTTTCATTAAATACAAAATGGAAGATGCTTGGTTTAAAACTTAGCAGTGAAATTATTTTTCATTCCCAATAGGGTTGTTATTGATCCCCCTTGGGAGTCAGTGCGATTTGAAAGAGAATCAATAGCCAAAAATGCAATGGTAATAGAATGACATATAATGGTAATAGAATGCAATGGTAATAGAATGATATATTAAAAATTTATTGATTACAGAAAATTGTTTATTGATAAAAAGTTATATCATGCTGTATACTAAAATTATTTAATATATTTTATAAACTAATACTATTTTTGAGTATATAAATTTTTCATGTAATAACTGCAATATTAAAATTTACAACACAGGAAAACACAATATATATACCTGGTGATCAAAAAGTCAGTATAAATTTGAAAACTTAATAAATCACGGAATAATGTAGATAGAGAGGTAAAAATTGACACACATACTTAGAATGACATGGGGTTTTATTAGAAAAGCAATAATTAGCATAACAAATTAAGCCAAAGCAAAGATGATGTTCTTTACAGGAAATGCTCAATATGTTCAACATCATTCCTTAACAATAGCTGTAGTCAAGGAATAATGTTGTGAACAGCACTGTAAAGCATGTCCGGAGTTATGGTGAGGCATTGGCATCGGATGTTGTCTTTCAGCACCCCTAGAGATGTCGGTCGATCATGATACACTTGCGACTTCGGGTAACCCCAAAGCCAATAATCGCACGGACAGAGGTCTGGGGACCTGGGAGGCCAAGCATGACGAAAGTGGCAGCTGAGCACAGGAACATCACCAAACGACGCGCAAGAGATCTTTCACGTGTCTAGCAATATGGGGTGGAGTGCCATCCTGCATAAAAACGTACGTTCCAGCAGTTGTTTATCAGCCAGGCTGGGGACGATGCGATTCTGTAACATATCAGCGTACCTCTCACCCGTCATGGTAGCAGTTACAAAACCAGAATCACGCATTTCCTCGAAGAAAAAAGGCCCGATAACAGTAATCTGTCAGACATTTTTTAACTTTTTTTTTTGATTCTAATAAAACCCCATGTCATTCTAAGTATGTGTGTCAATTTTTACCTCTCTATCTACATTATTCCATGATTTATTAAGTTTTCAAATTTATACTGACTTTTTGATCACCCGGTACATTTGTATAGTACAGTCAAAAGTCATTAATCCGGACTCATCGGGACTTCGGCGATTCCGGATTATCGATTTTTCCGGATTATAGATCATCAGTTTAAATCTCATAAGACGGCATGCAGAAATTCTAAAATTAAAAATATGAAACCGTAATTTATGAAATAAAGAACAATTATGATCTAAAGGGTATCAAAATTTACAAAAAAAAGCTTAATATTTATTTGTTTACTTTATTAATAAACATTTCTTTTAATGTAAGTTGTTTAAGTTGCTTCGTTTTATGGATAATACTTTCTCTTTAATTCTATAAACAGACATAATTTCTTGTTCAGTTACAAAGTTCCGCTGTTCAAGTCCGTAATTGCTGTGCCGAGAATACCGACTAACTTGTCAATCGAAATTTTTTTCGTTTTCACTAACCTCTCTGTCACCTTCTTCATGTCTGTATCCAATTTTTGCAGCAATTTCACTTTTTGTTTGATGGACATCGAAACATACTTCGTTTTGTAGATCCTTTGGGAGCTCCAGCATCGGAAATTCTATTGACATATCAAAAGTTCAAGTTTACTTTTATAAAATTGCTCTTACATCTGCAAAAAATAATAAGCCGGATCCAATTCGAAGATTAAGGAACAATGCAATCATCAACATTAACTGAAATAGATAATTAGATAATTTTAGCTTATACCGTCCGTTATACATAAAACGCGCACGTGAAAACGTATTCTGCGCTTGCGCACACGCATATGTGCAGTCATAAAGGTCTTATGCGCACGCCTAAACGCCTATGCGCATGTGTCAACGCGGCGCATGCGCAGAAAGTTTTTAGCTTTGAGGTCCGGATTATGGGTGTTCGAATTAGCGACTTTTGACTGTATCACAAATTTTTATTTTTAAACAAAATTATCACGTTGTTATTTCTGCATAGTATGCTGCTGGAAAATTAATCAATTATAGAACAAAAATAAGAAATTTAGAACCAAATGCACAAAATAATAAAGAAATGAAATTCAGTACAAGGAAAATCAAAAATTCCCAATAAATATTATAATATCACAAATATAGTATTATAGTAATAAATATTATAGCATGTATATAATTGAGCATAAAATCGAATAAACCATTTTTTCAAAACCTTATGGATACTTTTAACATAACTGTTATCTTTTAGTTATTTATTTTAAAATATTTATATTGTAATTTGGTTGTATGTTATATATTATAGAGAAAAATGCAAGGTGGTCAATGAAGAAAATCATTCCTTTAAAGGGGTTCTGTATAAGAAAACAATTGGAAATCTCTGGCGTAAATGCTTAACCCTTTGTTACATCACGTCCACTCTAGTAGACAAAAGTTAAAATTTTTTTACTCTTCTGTAAATGCCTTAACAGATTCCATTCCTGTGTTTATTCATTCTTATATAATTAAGACTGTCAACTTTCAATCATAGATGGCAGTATAGCATCACTAAGTAAAGCATTGTTATTTGGAAAATGGCTGCTACTTCTGTTTCCAGATTAGTAAGATTTCTCATAATAAACATTATATAATATCGATTAAACTTTCTTATACTGTCATTTTTTATTCATAATTAGTAATTTTAGACATATTATTTTAAATGCGAGTTTGAAAAAATTGTTGAGAAGGTAATTTTATTGAAATAAGGGGGCATTTTTCTTTTGTCCACTACAGTAGATGTCATGAATACAAGCTAAGTTTACTCTCTCTTCTGTAATGGACATCATGAACTAAATCTAATGTTTTTTTATGACATTAGGACAGGAGGAATTTTCCGAAAATTCTAAGTTTCAAACGAGGGGGAGGGGAGGTTCTTGGCTGCAACAATTTATTTTAAATAGTTAATTTGATTTATGTATGCTACAAATTAATTAGATAATAAAACAAAGTTATATCTAATTTAGGTCACATTTTATTAGAAATCTGCAACAGAAAATGTTTTTGACTGAAGATGAAATTGAGAAGATCATGAATGAGGATATTCCTTTTAGCAGTGATGATGATCCTCCATGATGACTCTGATGATGAGCCAGAAAATAAAGAAACAGAAATTTCA